TTTGGTTGCCTTGGATTTGGTTTAATTTTCCTCAGCTTCAGCTTGAATTTGCATATGAGTAGTTGGTGGTCTGTTCCACAATCAGCTCCTGGCCTAGTTGTCACAGCTGATATTGAGCTTCTCCAGCGGTTCTTTCCACAGATGTAATCGATCTGATTCCTATGCATACCATCAGGTGAAATCCAAGTACTGACATGTAAAAATCTTACAAATAAAAACTCTTCTCAAGGTCAGTCAGTATCAGCAGAGAAAGCTCTCACTTATGTTCCAGAGCATTGTGTGAAGTTAGGTATTTAGCAAGAAAGATCATCCTTTCTAGAGGAAAAGACTATAAACAATACAAGATTCTATAAGCCAGTCTACTAAATCCTATTTCAATCATAGGAGAAACCAGTTCATCTCAGTAATGGTAACTACAGTCACCTACAATAATCGTGGTTGCCTTGGTCAGGCGAGAGTCATTTACATGCCACTGTGTGAAATATTTTTAAAAGAGAAATTGGAAAGTTGGGCAGATAGATGTCAACATCCTCCTAACTATAATGTTAAGCTCCTTCTTCCTAGAAAAGGTTGTATCATGACCTTTTACTGTTCTCAGCTGCAGCTGCGCTGACTCACACTGACTGTTTATACTATACAACAGATGGAAACTTTTCCTGGTCCAGCACCACCTTCAAAATCTCCTTTAATGGTGGTGGACAGGATAGGATTCTGTTGCTGAGGCCCAGATTCAATTAGGGAATGGCCTTGATAAGAGCATTTAGTGGGCTTTCATGGGTGCACTCATTACTTACCTACGGAGATTTCCTAAAGTTTGTTCACTCATTTCCCCTACGTTCATTTTTTTGAGCTGAATCTGACTGAACCAGCATTTTGTGTGAATACGTGCAGAGTGCAGTGTGCAGCTGACCCTCCCAGGCTGGGGGCTGAAGGTCCAACAGAGCTGCTCTTTTCTCTAATTCTGAGATTGCTGTGGTGCCACTCACATCCAGGATTCAGCAGCTACTACCCCCAAGTCCCTGGACACCTCAGGTTGTTTGTTACGTTGACCTAGCACATAGATACTGATTCCTTCCACCTATATTGCAATTTGCAAATTGAAATGGAAGATGGACACTTCTGTAAGTGACTGAGCTGCTTTCCAGAACCCCTCCTACGTCCCAGCCCTGAGGCTTATCACCAGGATGTGTCTGTTAATCAGGACCCTAGGCGGTGGGACCTGTTCTGTACATTACTTGCCTCCAGCCTTCCCTTTCCATCTCCATTTCTGACATAACAAGTGAGGGCTGGACCAGCCCTCTTCAGAATTGATCTGTGTAAACTTTAAAGCCCCGCGACTTTAATTTTAATTAAATGCATAACCTTTAATTAAACCTGAATTTAAATTTTCTCCCACTTTTTCTTGTCAAACACCCTTCACCACTTTAGGGACTTTTCTTCTCTCTGCTACTTCTTAATCCTTCTCTTGCTTCCCTAATCCTTCTGTCTCTCTGTCTCTTTGTTTCTCTCTCTCTGACACCCCACCCCCCACACACACACGGGTTGGGGTGGGGGGAGAGAGGAAAATCAGCAGTAATGCCTTATTCAAAAAAGGTAGGAGACTGTTAGTGCCTGTTAAGATCAAAATGTCCTAGGCCTTAAAAGAACAAACCTATCAAAACAACTATGAGATATCATCTCACCCCAGTAAGAATAGCAAAACTTAGCAGAACAGCAAACATCATATGCTGGCGAGGTTGTGGGGAAACTGGAACCCTTATTCAATGTTGGTGGGAGTGTAAAATGGTGCAACCACTCTGGAAGGCAGTATGGCGCTTTCTCAAAAAGTTGCAAATAGAGATATCATTTGACTCAGCAATTACACTACTGGGAAATAGCCTTAAAGAAACCATAACTGCCACCCAAGCAGATATATGCACACCCATGTTTATTGCCACTTTGTTCACAATAGCAAAGAGCTGGAAACAACCTAAGTGCTCATCAACAAATTAATGGATAGAGAAACTCTGGTATATTCACACAATGAAATACTATGCAGCATTGAAAAGCAAGGAACTCATGAAATATTATGCAAAATGGATGACCCTGAAGGACATTATGTTGAGTGAAATATTTCATTCACAAAAGGACAGATACTGCATAGGGCCACAGTTGTAAAATAGGACTGACATCAGAGGGAAGGAAGACAGAAAAGGAGGGGAGGAATGATGTATATTGCATTGAAATGGATGAGGGAGAGATCTGTTTAAAAGGGATATATGGATGGGAATTCTTGTCATTACAGAAGTCAAGAGTGAAGGCTGCATAGTTGAGTGGACTTGGGGGAAGGGATTGTATAACAACGAAAGAGTTTTTCTTTTCAAGGAGAAGAGTGAATTGGGGGGAGGGAGAAAAGTGCAACAATGAATGACTGGAAACCCTAAGTCTCTGTAAATTTTCATTAAAATTAATAATAATAATAAAAAAGAACAAACCTATTACAAACCTGCCTGTGTCTATGCCTCCAAAGATAAAATTTTTCTAGCTTCAGTTCATTTCCTGAGGCTTTACAGTTTATGCTTGCCCTACGTTGTTGTTTTTTAAAAAACCTTTTTACTGTGGTTTGTTTGGGTAGAAGATTACAGAGAAAATTCATTTCTATTCAGTTCACCAATGTTTTGTTTTATCACATTACCTGCAATCCCCACGGTGTACCAGCACTCTCTCCACTTACCCTTTGTGTTTCTCATCTCCACTCACCTTTCTCTCTGGTCCCTTCCTTCCTTCTGAACTTTGTTCTTGGGCCATTGCTGCCTTTTTACACTCCTATTCTAAGGAGATCACCTTGTAGACCTGTCTAGTGACTGGTTGTAAGTTGATCCACAGGGGTGAGCTTAACTCTAGACTTGAAGGATTTCGAAATATCACTCTTGGGGGTGTTCTACTAGTTTGTATCAGAACTAGTAAGTCTGGCTTTTTCATGAATTTTAATTTTTGCTCCACATTTACCCTCAACTCTACCTGAGATCTTCCACTATGATTCCAGTCAGAGCTGTCAGTAGTGGTGGCCTGGTGTCCAAGTCAGGTAGGTCACGGGTTTATTGCTCCTTCGGACTAATAGTTTCCTTCAGTCTTTGATTTTCTTCACTCTTCTTTGATTCACATTAGGAGAGATCAGTACTAACAGCTCCCCATTCCTAACTCACTTACATTTAAAGGTAGAGGACAGTGGCTAAAAGCTCAAACTTTTAGGTCAGCAAACTTGGGTTCAGTGTGCTTGGCCATCACTTCCTGTGAAAGTCCCACAAGCACCATGCCGACCTCCTTGCCAACCCTACCTTTGCCTTTCAAAGTTTGTAGAATATGCATGTATTATTTAATCGGACAGTGAATACAGGTTTCAAAGCACAAGAGAATAGAAGGAAAGAAAATTTGTGTTTAAATCTTGACTCTGCTAATTTTGGTGCCTGGCTGGCTACGAATGGAAAGATTGGTCGTTAAAAGCCCCACCTGTGGAAAGAGGGCCTCATAATCTGTTTCTGAAATGTCACAGCTTTGAAAACCATAGGAATGTCGTTTTACTCCCCACCCAGGGTTGGTATGAATCAGAACTAGCAACTGGTTTGTTTTGCTTCACCTTGAGCAAATTACTTAACAATTTTATGCTTTGAAAAATGGTAATAATCTCCAGAATGAAGGCTGCATAGTGGAGTGTACTGGGGGCACCAATGAAAGAATTTTCCTTTTACTTTTCAAAGAGAAGAGCAAACTGGGTGAGGGGGTGAGGGG